CTATCGGGATCCACCACCATTTGATGCTGGTGATGGTCTTTCCTGGACTGTACCACAGTTTGACTGAGACTGAGAAAATCTCTTCGCCAGACTGCAGCTGACATGGAGCCTATAAAGGAGAATATCATGCTGTTGGGATCCTCCACCATTTGATGCTGGTGATGGTCTTTCCTGGACTGTACCACAGTTTGACTGAGACTGAGAAAATCTCTTCGCCAGACTGCAGCTGACATGGAGCCTATAAAGGAGAATATCATGCTGTTGGGATCCTCCACCATTTGATGCTGGTGATGGTCTTTCCTGGACTGTACCAAAGTTTGACTGAGAAAATCTCTTGGCCAGACTGCAGCTGACATGGAGCCTATAAAGGAGAATATCATGCTGTTGGGATCCTCCACCATTTGATGCTGGTGATGGTCTTTCCTGGACTGTACCACAGTTTGACTGTTGTAAAATTTTCTATATATATGTTAACTTTTTAAAATAAGATTATTGTTTGTATTGAAAGATATTTTGATCATGAAGTTGTATTTCATATTCAACTATGCTTTATAAAAGGTATTATGTATTAAACGGATTATTTCTTGTACTTTGAGATATTGTATTGATCTCGTGTAAAAGACATTTGTAAATTATAGTTCCAAAACGAGGTTCAGATTCTGTAACATCACAGTTGTGCTGGCTGTTCAGTCTTGTACAGCATCTGATAAAAAAGTGTTATTGTTAGTTACAATAAATTTAATAAGTATTTTAGAATGAGAAGTCTTCAAAATACTTTACTGTATTATGCATTAAAGCAACAGTGATTCCAGAACTGAAAACACAACTAGTAGAAATGTGTACATGTAGGACTGCTTTCCAGTCACACCACCTGGAGGCCATAGAATAATAGTTTGTCATTCACGAACTTTACACTTCTTCTTGAACATATAAAGAGTTTTTAAACTATTTATAGCTTACTAAGATAAATTATAGTAGTTTTGGGACATTCTATACCAGTGACTGATTTATTTAACAGCTATGTGAATTCTTTTTGAAGACCTAAATTTAAGAGAAAAATTAGGTTTATGCTTAGGCAAAGATCACATGCTGTTCACGAGTGATGACAAAAGGATTCTTCTGTGATTTATTGCTTTTGATAAAGAATAAAATAATTTACAAAAGGTAAAAAGTTTTATTTATTTTATTTTAGTTTTCACTTCACTATACGTTGAAAATTCACTACAGTTAATGTTAGGGTAGAGAATATACAAGATAAAATGTAAAGTTTTACAAAAACAACTAAAATATGAAAACTGTAAGATGAAAAGAAGTATTTTTATCCTCTCACTCAGTAGAAATCACTTATTAAATCGACAACCAGAGATGAAGTATTAATACTACTCAATATGATGAATCTATAATTTCAAGATGGCACCTTTATTTAGCTACGACTTAATTCTACTGTTAAAAGCAAAGCTTCTTTTAAAGATGTAAATCTACTTTATTTCAGTCTAATTCTCATATCCTCATCTGTTATGGCATTTATAAATTGGTCATGTGCCAACAAATCAATTATTTCACAAGGAGTTTCCAATTAATATAATTGGGCAAGCCTTTCCAAATATTCTTCAAATCCGACCAAAGACCCTTTTTTTCTTCTTCTTGCATACACTCTTCTGGAACTTTGCTCTGAATACTTCTTTCTGGTGTGTCATTCCAAACCTTTTGGGTAAGATGGCTATCAATGCTTGATAGTTGTTATGGCTTTCATCTGGAAGAGTACTTAATGTTGTCAAAGCTGGCCCTTCTAAATTGACAGCAAAATGAATAGCTTGTTAATTAATTATTCCCTATTCCACTTGCCCAATCTGGAAATGATTTCAAATTGAGCATTGCATGATTCTAATTGTAATTTTCCATCACAGTCTGTTGGTTTCTCAAATGGCTACTAATGTTATTGATGTGGCCAGCTAAATTTTGGAGCTTCACTTGGTAAAGCCAGGGTTGTAGTAGTTCAGGAAGATTTTACAATAACAAGTGGCACAACAGTAATAAATGTAGACGAATGAAATTCACCTACTCCATATTTTGTAGTAGAAGAAGGTGTTTCAGGTTGGAACTCTTGAACAGGTGCAAAAAAAGGTGTAGCTAATGTAATCTTCACATTGGTCAATTAGTTTTCCAAATGTTTTATTTTGTCACTGATGTTATTTTCTAGCTCTTTTATCTCTTTTTTTGAACTTTAATTTTGTATTACAGCCTTTCCATAGATCATTGATGTCTTTCTTCAACCTTACTGCTCTAACCACTTTCTACATCCCCAATTATTTCACGTCAAATGTTTTTAATTCTTCTTTAAATATCACATCTCTTTCTTTTAACTCCTTTCTTAAAATTGCTTCTCCTACCTATTAATCATCTCATTCTTTTAAATCTTCTCATCATTTTCAGATAGTGAAGAAGAGTTACAGTCGAGATGTTGAGAGAATAAAGATCCTATTATAGCATTATTAGTCTCATTGCTACATTAGCACCCACTTGTCAATATGAATAATACTCGGATGAAAAACAATTCATAACATTTTTTACTTATTATATCCAGTGAAAAGTTATTTTTCTAATCCTGTGAATAATAAGGCTAACATTTTTATTTATTACTAGACCACCCATGACCCGTTGGGTCACCCACTATTCACAGGTTATGAAGAATTCAAACTAATTTCAATCTTGCACCAAAATGAAGGTTTATTTTGGGATAATTTAATTAAATATTTCAATCCATTCGTGTTATTCATAATTCAAGAAAATATATTTGATTGTTGATTGAGAGTGAAAGGAAAGACCATTTCATTTTTCAAAAAAGTTAAGTCAGAG